GATGGTGGTGCCAAGGACCCACAGCAGTAAGAGCAACCAGCTGAAGAAAGACAGCGCTGGACTCCAGGTAATGGCAAGTACTCTATTTTTAAAAGTCAGCAGCAACAGTATTTGCATCTGCTGTCTCAGAAAAAAAGTTCCTCTTTAAGAAGTGGATTGGTATGATTTGGGTTTCTACAAAGAAAAATATGAAGCAAGGTTCACCCCTTGATGTAAAGCAAAAAATCCCACTAACATAAAAGACAGTTATATCCTCATTTGGGAAAATGATAGTCATGGTCTTCTGTAAAAAATACTTCCAGTTTATTACGAGTTTACAATGACATACTGCCACAAGGGACACATGCAAAATTACCAGTGTTAAGTACAATAAATTGCATCTTAAAATCCCTAGTCATCCTGTAACAGCCAATGAAAAACTGTTTCTATTCTATTTCTTATGGTCATTCACACAAAAACATAAACTCCCTTAAATTGTGGAATTCACAAAATTCCATTTGGCTGAGATTAGTCAGTACTGAAAACATTTTTCAATCTACCTGCTCTCCAAGTATTAAAACCGTCACATAAGAATCCTGGATTATTTTCGAAGTTCTCACAGAATTGCTTTCCAGCTCATAAAAAAAAAAAAAAAAAAAATCATCTTTTGGCTTTCATCATTCAATGGCAACTTTGCACTTCAGACACGACAAACCTCGATGAGCCACATTTTATATCTGCATCCATTATTGATTTCAAAACGCTTCTGTTCCCTTATAGGTGCTGTACATCTCTTTACATTAGTCACCCAAAAAGGTACCAAAAGGAGGCAGTGGATATGTGTTTTAATCACCTGCCTAGGTCCAAATCACTCTGCCCCACCCACTTGCTAAACATGCAAGCAGGTACTTAAGCCCCATACACACGATCAGAAAATTGTACGAAAAATGCTGCTTTCAAAGCGATCGTACAATAATCTGATCATTAGTACACAGCAATAGTCCGAAATTACTCTTAGGGACAAGCATGAAAATTTTTGTTTTACGTTACCAGATCGTATGATTTTTGTTTAACCAGTAGAGTTTTCGTCCGAAAATACAATACAAATACATTACATCACTTCCAAATTTTTATTCTGTCGTACAAGAATTTCAAAACATAACGATCATTTGTCCAATATTCTCAACGTGTATATAGGGCTTTACTGAGCCCAACAGCCTTCCACATGTGATGAGGCTAAAAATTGTAATGAGCTCAGCATACACAAGTTCATAGTAAAGAATTTGCTTTTATATTTGTTCTGCTTTCCTACAGCATTTTTCGGCCCCCTTATTTACAACAGGCTATCAAACAACAGTGGCATAGAAATTGGCCGGTAGGTTTTCTCAATATTTTACAAAGTCAATTGCCCACATTTACATGGATTTTACCCAAAAAAAACGTTATCTCTGACAACTATTAGGTTCCATGCACACTGGGCGTTTTAATAATGCTGGTAATGTTAGCTGTGTAAAGTCACGTTAAAACCGTGAGTTTCTCAGCTTTTTTTTTTTTAGTGTTTTTGCATTAACGTTTAGCCGCTTTTGTTTTGCATTTTTTTGCATATTTTTTTTCTCAAACAAAAAATGTCCAAAAATGCCGGTTTGCCATGATTTACCGCATTTTTCAGTGTTTTTACAGCTAAAAAACTCCTCTAGAAACCCACTAGTTCTGTTTTTTTTCCAGTCAAAAAACGCCCCTGCCAAAAAACGTTGATTAGAGTCTATGTGTGCATGGACACATTTACTGGCTGTAGACAACGAAAACGTCAAAAGGCAAAAACAACAGCTGTAAAAACATCCAGTGTGCATGAGGACTTAAGCTGTAATCACTGGGATTTCCTCCACTGCTATGCTTAAAGTGAATATATCATCAGAAAATGGGGGCTACCACTGCTAGCTTCCATCTTAACATGATAGTTGCCTGGCTGTTTCTGAATTCAGGAGCTTTTAGTATAATATATATATATTTCTTAATTATGTCATGTAAACTCTAACTAGATGGTATTTAGGGGTTGATTTACTAAAGGCAAATATAATGTGCACTGCAAGTGCAGTTGCTCCAGAGATTAGTAAATGAGGTAAAGCTTCACTTTGCAAAGAATACCCAATCACAGGAAGGGAAAATAAAAACAAAATTTTTGCTTGCACATGATCGGCTTATAGAAATCAGCAGAGCTTCTCCTCATTTCAGAGCTGTCCCTCAGATCTAGAGCAACTGCACCTGCAGTGCAAAGTATATTTACCTTTAGTAAATCAACCCCTTAGTTTGCTGAAGTATCAAAATCAACCGCTATGTTTATTTGTTTTTCAAACTGCCATTTTTTTCTTCTAGATATGGAATTTACAAGTATGTCAAAATTCCTCTTTAATAGGAGTACAGTATAGGACCCAGGAATCAATCCATAGACACTGGCAAAAGCTTCATTGGGTCCAACCCCCAAAATTCCCCTCTCCAACTCCACGAGACTCCAGTTTTGTTAGAAAGTAATAAAGAGACCACAGAGGAGACAGTGGAGGGACCTGTCTCCTCTGTTGTACTCCATGATACAGAATGTACAGGTACAGTGATGAGGAAGAACCCTGTGTAGTAGAAGTCACAAGGAATGGAAGGTGTTGAGAGATACAAAAAAGGGTGTGTAAGGTCGGCCAGGATCTGCAGGATTCCAAATGAAATTCCAGACGTACGGCCAGGTTAAGGTATTTATAAAACGAGGGACAAATTTGGAACTCATGATAAAGGTCTTTTATTAGTCCACTAGGCGGAGCAGTTTTTCCAAGGATTTAGAATCAGGAGAAACATCTTGTGCCCAAATGGGGACCAAATGTAAGGAAAGAATGTGCTGACATAGGGATATCCAGGTGGAAAGAAGTTTAGGGAATTGCCTATTCAGGCTGTCATGAATCAATAAGCTACAAAGGATGGTTGTGTTTGGTAGACAAGTGCCAAAAGCTGCTGTGTTTCATAGGTTCAAAGGAAGGGGAACCACTCAAAAAGCTCCAGAAACTGGGAGATTTAAACTGTTTTTGATTCAATTCTGCACTAAGCCGTACTAAAGTCAGGACAAAAGGAGGGGAGATTAAACAGTATTTTTTGGAAACAGCAATTGGTGAAATTCAGCCGTAGATAGGATAGGAAAAATCACGTGTTGAAGCTCAGGACAAGAACTGAGGCTTAGGCCAGGGAGGTCATAACCTGGCAGAAGAGGGTATTCAGGTTCCAGGTTGAGAAAGCAACTTCCTTGAGTAGATTAGAAATGGTCACCCAAAAGAAATTAATTGCCCCTGTGCTGTTTTCAGCATCAGGCATAGCCTTTAGAACAGGGCTCCTCAAACTTTTTAAACGGGGCCAGTTCACTCTCCCTCAGCCCGTTGGAGGGCCGAACTATAGTTTTTAAAAAAAAAAAAAAAAACTATGAACAAATGCGAACACAGTATAGGAGATGACCAGAGACTGCCGACATACAACGGCGGCGGGAATACTGGGCTGGCCGCTCCATAAGACGCACAGACCATTTCCCCCCCAAGTGTGTCTTATGAAGCGAAATAGTGCCCCATCATTGGTGTCAGTGGGAGGAATAGTGCCCCATCATCGGTGTCAGTGGGAAGAATCGTGCTCCATCATTAGTGTCAGTGGGAGGAATAGTGCCCCATCACTGGTGTCAGTGGGAGGAATAGTGCCCCATCATTGGTGTCAGTGGGAAGAATCGTGCCCCATCATTAGTGTCAGTGGGAGGAATAGTGCCCCATCATTGGTGTCAGTGGGAAGAATCGTGCCCCATCATTAGTGTCAGTGGAAGGAATAGTGCCCCATCATTAGTGTCAGTGGGAGGAATAGTGCCCCATCATTGGTTGTCAGAGGGAAGAAACGTGCCCCATCATTGGTGTCAGTGGGAAGAAACGTGCCCCATCATTGGTGTCATTGGGAGGAATAGTGCCCCATCATTGGTGTCAGTGGGAAGAATCGTGCCTCATCATTGGTGTCAGTGAGAGGAATAGTACCCCATCATTGGTGTCAGTTCGCGGAATAGTGCCCCATCATTAGTGTCAGCGGGGGGGAGGAATAGTGCCCCATTATTGGTGTCAGTGGGGGGAGGAATAGTGCCCCAACGTTGGTGTCAGTGGGGGAAGGGGATAGTGTCCCAACATTGGTGTCAGTGGGAGGAATAGTGTCCCATCATTGGTGTCAGTGGGAAGAATAGTGCCCCATCATTGGTGTCAGTGGGAAGAATAGTGCCCCATCTTTGGTGTCAGTGGGAGGAATAGTACATCATTGGTGTCAGTGGGGGGGAATAGTGCCCCATCATTGGTGTCAGTGGGAGGAATAGTGTCCCATCATTGGTGTCAGTGGGAAGAATAGTGCCCCATCTTTGGTGTCAGTGGGAGGAATAGTACGTCATTGTGTCAGTGCAGGGGAATAGTGCCCCGTCAATAGTGTCAGTGGGATAGTGTCTCAACATTGGTGTCAGTGGGAGGAATAGTGTTCCATCGTTGGTGTCAGTGGGAGGAATAGTGTTCCATCGTTGGTGTCAGTGGGGGAGATAGTGTCCCATCATTGGTGTCAGTGGGGGGGATAGTGTCCCATCATTGGTGTCAGTGCGGGAAGGAATAGTGTTCCATCGTTGGTGTCAGTGGGGGAGATAGTGTCCCATCATTGGTGTAGTGGGGGGGCCCCATCGTTGGTGTCAGTGGGGGAAGGAATAGTGCCCCATCGTTGGTGTCAGTGGGTGGGGTGTCAGTGGGGGGGAATAGTGCCCCATCATTGGTGTCAGGGGGGGGTGGAATAGTGCCCCATCATTGGAGTCAGTGGGGGGAGGAATAGTGCCCCATCATTGGTGTCAGGGGGGGGAGGAATAGTGCCCCATCGTTGGTGTCAGTGGGAGGAGGAATAGTGCCCCATCGTTGTGTCAGTGGGAGGAGGAATAGTGCCCCATCGTTGGTGTCAGTGGGGGGGAGGAATAGTGTCCCATCATTGGTGTCAGTGGAGGAATAGTGCCCCATCATTGGTGTCAGTGGGGGGGGAGGAATAGTGCCCCATTACTGGTGTCAGTGGGAGGAATAATGCCCCATCACTGGTGTCAGTGGGAGGAATAATGCCCCATCATTAGTATCAGTGACACCAATGATGGGGCACTATTCCTCCCACTGACACCAATGACACGTAACTTGCTGACCCCTGCTCCAGCATGGTGCTGCTGCAGCCAGCATACCTGGTTGCAGCAGCACCATCAGCACGGCACACTTACCTGTCAGCTGTCCTTCTTCACTCCGGCCTCTCTCTCACTCGATGTTCGCGGGGGGGGGCCGCCTGGCTCCGCCTCCTCGCAGGTGATTGGCCGCCTGTGTGCCTTTCCTGAGTTACAGTTCTGCCCAATCACCGGTGAGAACAGTGAGCGGCAGGAGTGAAGTGGCCGGATGTGAATGAAGGAGCAGCGCTTCCTGGACTGGATCATCGTGGGACTGGGACCGGAGCCAGGTAAGGTACAGCAGCCCCCTGCCCGCCCCTGTACTTAGTGTCCCTTCCTGTCCCGCCTCCTAAATGGCCTCGGCGGGCCGCATGTGGCCCACGGACCGTAGTTTGAGGACCCCTGCTTTAGAACATATGAGCAGTGTTTATAGGCCTATAGCCACAAGCTCTGAGGGATCCCACTGGTTATCCCAGGAGTTGAGAACTAAACCAATAATCTAGCAGAAATTATTCCATGGAAGTATGGAAGACATTTATGTCAGTAATAAAAGATTTACAAGGAAAAGTGGATAGGAGGGACATTACCTACAAATCATACTCAGTGGAGGGGAAGAATTTTTCTGGCATCAGAGATATTGACACAGATGTACAGGAGTCTAACTGCAGATTACATCAATGGTCTCCAAACTGTGATTAGTGGGCCTGATGTAGCCCTTTGTTAGCCTTCATCTGGCCCTAGGGGCATTATTATTGCTCTTAATGTAACCAACAGCGGGGCATAATTCCTGCCACTGACACCAAAGATGGGGCACTATTTATCCAATGATGCCAACAATTTGGTACAATTTCTCTCACTAATACCAATTTAATGGCATTATTCTTCCCATTATACCAATGAAGGAATGCTATTCCTCCTCCTATGGATTACAGTAATTTATTTACTACCACTGACCACCAAGCCTGAAGCATTGCGCATTCCCACTGAATGCAGGACCTTTTCTACCCCCACTGGAATCAAGCCCCCCCCCCCCTAAAATCTGAAGGACAGTAAACTGGCATTTTGTTTAAAAAGTTTGGAGACCCCTGGAATAGACAAATGGCTGTGTGAGGGTGCACCTCATGGAAGCCTGACTAACAAAATAATCAAATGGCGGTATATAAGCCATTAAGGACAGGATGTGATAGCAAAGAAACCCATTTTTTTTTACTTTTTTTAGTTTGTTTTATCAACACATTTATGTGTTGGCTATCACATTGTTTAACATTTGATATACATTGGAGTACTGTAAATGCACGTGTGCTACACTAAACACAATGTCAGTTTATGATACACTATTTTATACCATTGCTGATTGATACAATTTATTGTCATATTGTGGTGCATGTGTGAGAACTACATCACTACATAAGTTGCATATATGTTATATTTAACACACAATTTGCTCACTATATTTTAATATATCTTTTATCGTAGGATTTTATTATCTGTGACTTACAATATTTTTTTGAGATTTAGTGCTGCCTTTTAGGTATCTTGTTTAATTTTATATTGTTTACTGGAACATATGGCAAGCTGCTCTTGATGGATTTAAGTTGTAAGCACGGTCTCTTTTTAATTTTTCTTTGCTTATAAAGTATTTGATGTGCTAGTTTATTTAAATCTGCCAGTACATCTAACACCCCCAGATTAACCATGCTGCTGTCCAATGGTGTCCCCTATGCTCCCTCATCCAGAGTGGGGGAACTCTAATACAAGTGATGTGTCACTTGCTAGATCACAAGGTTAAAACAAAGAGAAAAACCCTAAAAAAAAAAAACCCAAAAAAAACAAATACAGCCACCCAATGTAAAGATTGGTAAGATACAAGATATTACATTTTAGGTTTTGGGTTTAATATTGCTTTAAGTCATCATGATGTCAGGGGTGGGTATTTTTCGCTGTATGTTCATGTTACAGTATATATGCAAGCTTTATTGTATTACAAGTTGTCACTATGTTGTCTTTAGAAAGAGATCCTGAAATGGCCCAAAAACATTGGCCTGTTTTAATAGGTGGTATAGCGCTAATAAATAAGTGTATATGTTTGCAACATGGTGCTGGTGACATCTCATCATTCTACTGTGGTTTGCATGGCACTGTCACTTTGAGCATCCAACTGTTACTAATGTCGAAACGGCAAGGAGTGTTGTCCCCATCATTTGATTTATCAGACAGACATGAGATATTATTTCAAGTCAAGTCTTTTTTACAGATGGTAAACAATGTGTACACATGCAATACACGCCTGCATTGTGATCAACATATAAACTAAACAAATCCATGAAATCAACCCTGACTGAACCGACAAACCAGCAAGACGTCATGGCCTGTAATTTATCATGGATGCAAAACAAAAATATGAGAAATAAACCTTGCTGGTTGCCTTGATCATAGAAAATTTCCTGCCAACTCAACAAATGCGACCTTTGACATGTGAAAAAAAAACAAAGCATTAGAACACTATCAATGTGAGATTACATTAAAGTTTTAGTGTTAGTCATCCTTGTAATTGGTACGTTGCTGTGTTCCATCCCAGCTGTTCTTCCGCACACATTCCACGCAGAAGCACAATGACAGGATACGAGTTGCTACAATGTTGGGAAACTTGCAGAACAAACCATGATTAGGGGGAAAAAACTGCATAGCTGCCAGTCATTACATCTAAAATTAAACTATCATACATAATATAGCAGCCTGCATATCGGTCCTCTACAAGTAAATCACGCCTCCCCGGACAAAGGCTTTTCTTCTCAGGCTGTGGCTGATTTTTATTAAAAAAACAAACTGGGAGACTTGGAATATATTTAGCAAATATGAAATACGGCTTAATTCACACAGCCGTAAGAAAACGCATAAACAAGTGTTTTTTGATTACGGATCTGAATGCAGCTGCATTGTTCTCAATTAAGCCATTCACACAGGTGCGTAAACATGAACTGCTTTCAGATTCGTAACACAGAATCCAAAAATGTGTGTCCAAGAACTTGCTCTTTATGCGCTTCCCCTTTTGGGTGGAGCTATGCTTTAAAGAAGACAACTTACTTCAACTTCAAAGTGATATTTACAGATTTCACAAATTTATGTGCAGACACCTATGGTGTGTACGATTAGCCCAACATGTCATTTTCAATAAGTTATCTCAAATATAAATTGCATCCTCTATGAATGAACACAAGAAAACATTTTCACAATTTACACAAAATCCTGATGAGAATTTCCACTTATGAATCATTTATAGATGTGGCCCAATTTCTTCAGCTAGTCAGCATTTAGAACAGTTCCATACAATCTAGGATGTACTGGGACTAGAAGACTCCTTTTCACACTTATGCAGTGTGATCTGACCACACTATAGGTGTAGCGAGGGTTAGCTGTGCTTTCCTACAGGGTTCTATGTCCCATAGGTTGGGCACACTTGCTAAAAGCACATCAAAAGTCCTGCATGTAGGACTTTTGCTGTGCTTTCAGACAGCACACCAAAAAAGCAGTGCATAGTAGAAATCTATGGGAAAGCGCACATAATCCCCACCAGACCCTCAGGTATGCTCTGCTACTCCTTCAGTGCAGTCAAACCGCACTGCATAAGTGTGAAAGAAACCTAAATATGCAGAGGCAAACAGTGCAACAATCAAACAGCTACAAACCTGTTTTGGGCAGATTCTTTTTTGTTTAGGTGGGAAATATACCATTCATGTACAAACCTTCTATCGATTTATTATCAAGTAAAAACAAGCAAATGGTTGAGAAACAGACGTCTATAGCGTATATTGAAATCCAGTGAGCATGGATTTAAATGAAGTAAAGCTAAGCAAAATATATATATATATATATATATATATATATATATATATAATAAGTGGAATATTACTTGAATATTAAAATCTTCAAAACAATGCTTCACGTAATCAATGTATATTATTTACTTGTACTTGTCTAAAAGCACATCAAATGTAGAATAATAGATTTCAAAGGTAATAAAAACATTGCAAGACCTTTGTAAAGTAGCTCTACAAAATGTAAGATTTCAAGAAATTTGGAAACTTTTTGGTAGCCAAAGTCCTTACCGTTTTTCCGTTCTTTAAGAGGGGGCAATTGCTGCACTGATTGCAATGAAAGCTCCTGAAAATCATGGGCAACTGCTTCACTTTGAGGACTGGGAGCAAGGTGGAGAGAAGATACCGCTTCCTCATCTTGAGTCATTTGATGGTCCATAGTGGTGCAAGAGGATGAAGGAACTGAATGATCTTACTTTGCTTTTTCAATACAAGACTGTAGAAAGGAAATCACAAATATCAAAATTAGATAAAGAGCTAATGACAATCAAAACATTCTATCATAAGAAGGTCATACAGAGCATTGTAATACTATTTCTTTTTCTTCCAGCACTGTGAATGTTTAATGGGTGTGTTCAATAAAGACACGAAAAGTTGAACCGGCAGAGATTCAAACCATCTATGGCCAGCTTGCATGTTTTTTTTGTTCAGTCCACTCAGTACTAACTGTATGATGTTAGTACAGCGATCACCCCACTGAGCTATTGTATGGGACCAACCACCTGCAAGAACACACCAGTTAGCGCTTGCAGACATTGGCTGAGAGCAGGGTGGATAAAAATCAATGATTTTTAAAAAAAAATAAAAAAAATCAGTTTTTTTAATTTAAATCGGATTTTTGTGAATAAAATGCTTTTTGAGGAAAATATATTACCATCCAAAGGTTATTTCATCATGAAGTAAAGATTAGTTTTTTAATTATGTAGAATAAGGCTGTATATGTTTAATTTTTTTGGTAAATAAATTCCATGAATCCATTCACAATGTCATGCTCTTCCAGAGGTTTTTGTAAGATTATTGGGCAGTTTCTCTGCCTACAAGATATTATCACAGATGCTTGGTTTACTTTTGCAGTTCTCAAAACTGAATTTGACTCAGCGGAGATCACATGCCTCTTCTTCACAGCAAAAATGTTATAACGTGAACAGAGTTAAGAAAAAGACCTTAATCCTAACTTCTACAAACCTATGAATACAGAATCAACCCCTTCAGTGCTAAGTTTCAAGAAGTTCAGTGAATAGAATAGAAACAATATTTTTCTGATTGTTTGGAGTGGAATAGATCTGCACAAGAAGAAAGTGAAACTAAGTGTGAGGAGGAAGGGGCTGACAGTCTAAGTTTCCTAAAATATATATATTTTGTTTAGCCAAATTAGTTAACAAACATGGATGTTTAAGCAAATAACATATGCTGGAATGTTATTGTTTCAGTTGAATAAATCTATTTAAATTGTTATTATTAAGGTAATGATTATTTTTCTCCTTTCTAAGTACAACAGAAAAGTTGTCCAAATATGAATGATTAACCTATTAAACTGGGGATAAAAAAACTAATATGAAAAGTTGTTATTCTAAAAATCTTCATCTACTTGCATATTAAAGTTATACCAGCAAGAATTAGTCTATGTAGAAAACTATGATTTAAATCAAGCCTTACTGACTTGTGATTTAAATCGTGATTTAAATCAAATCCACCCTGGCTGAGAGTGCTGATCGGATGCCAATCAACTGCTGATTTTTTACCATGCTCATCTGACAGAAGATGGTCATGAGATTGGCTTCTGTCAAACAAGGACCTGTACACATAGGCTGAGTGTCGACCGGTATCTACTGTACCAGCTAATTTGGCCAATAATCGGCCCGTGTATACAGGGCTTAAGATGGGGATCTGATCACAAATTACTGAAGAAAACCAATTAATTCCAAGGGATTCACATGCTTTTGCCACTGTATGTAAACCCTAACAAAGAACTTATCTTATTTGA